CGATGCGCTGGGCGGCCCGCGCGCCCCGCGTGAAGCCCGCGGGGGGCCCCCCAGGGAAGGGCTGACCAGGTCGCGCCTCTCGAGCGGCCGACCCCCCAGCTCTGGCCCTCCACGCCCGGCGCGTGCGCGGGCGCCTCGGGCGGGCAGAAATGTTCGGACTGCCGCTCTGGCAGCCGCAGCCTGCGGAAGCAGCCCGTCGCGCCCGCCGGCCCCTGGTGGGGGCCGCATCCCTGCAGCGCGCGCTGGGCCTCAGGGCCCCGCGGATCGACGCCCGGCTGAGGCCCCCGGCGCCGAGGCCCGGCGGCGGCTCGAAGAGTTTGTCCGCGGGGCGGGCGTCCAGGATGAGGCGCAGCCTCTCGCCGCCGCCCTTCCCCGCGAAGAAAAATACCTACTTGGCAACGGGGCCGCGTGGTCCGCATAAGGAGGCCGCGGCGAAACAGGTCGGCGCTGAAGTGTCGATAGGTCTCGGCGCTCCGCTTCAGCGCAGGGTCGAAGTGCGGCGTCGCAGTCCGTGGCGGGCAGTCTGCGCGCAGCGTGCGCTAGCTCGGGGTGCTCCTTCAGGACGCGCTGGACCTCGGGAGGGCCACGTCCTCAGACGGCGGGCGGCCCTCCGCGGACTCGGGCAAGGAGACGAGACCCTTTCTGAAGGGCGCGACACGGGTGAGGCAGCCCGCCCCGTCGCACGGATAATGCCAACGCAACGGCCGGCGAGCGGCCGCGCGTTCACGGAGAGCGCCAGGACCTGGGTACCGCCGCCAGGCCAACTCGCAGATCCGCTCCCGAACCACGAGATACATCGGATCGGGCTCGAAGTACGTCGGGCCGTTTTGGAAGCCCGCGAACCAGTTCAGTGAGTCCACCGCCTCGCTGCCCATCTTCAGCGCCAACCGCTCGCGCCTCCAAAGAGCTCGGCCGCGCATGGAGTCGGCCTCAGGTGCCACGGGCAAGCACCAGCGAGGCGGCGGGAACAGTTCCCTGGCAAAGCGCGAGGCGGCAAGCCGGCCCCGCGCGACCCCTTGTATCGCGGCCGGGGGCGGGGTTCCTCCCGGCCGCGATACAGCCCGCCCTTGGACGGCGACCGCTTCAGCTCGCCCTTCGTGTGCCCGTCGGCGGCTTCGCCCTCCTGCGGCCTGCGGAAGCCTTGGCCGAAACCGATCATCCCCTGGACCTCCCGCTGCTCCTCGATCCTCCGCGCCGCGAACTGCGGCGAAGTGATGGTCGCGATGCCGTCCGAGGTCGCAGCCCCAGTGAACAGGCAAGCGCGGTCCCGCGCAGGCTTTGTCGGGCCGGAGTCGACCGCAATCAGGCCCACATCTCGCCGCGCACTCGCATTCAGGCGCATCAAGCATCCAAGGTTCACCTGATCATAAACGGCCGCCCGGCACAGGATCTCGCGCGACAACAGCAGTGCACGAGCGACCCCACTGCTCTCACCTATGGCCCTGGCGTGCAGAAAATCTCGCAGACACCCGACGGCGACGAATGCGAGGACTGCAGGAGCTCCGACCTGAGCCCAGGTCCCGTGGGCGCCACGCTGATGTCCGCGGGCGGAGGCGCACCTGAGGCTCGGCCACAGCCGATCTACCGCTCTCGGAAACCGATGACGATAGAGGGGCAGCTGCGCGCGGCGATCGTCCGGGCCCGCGAGTGGGTCGAGGCTTGCCCGCCGGGGGCCACCCCTGCGGCGTCGCTGGAAACCATGGGGCCCGACGGTGAGTTCATGGAGAGGCCCGTGTTCTTCGGAGTGGCCGTGTGGGTTGCGGCCCATCGCCTGCGCGGGAGGCAGCCCCCGCTCTCGCATCAGCTCCGCGCTTGTTCGTTGTCAGAACTGGGAACAGTTTTTAACGATGGAGTGCGGTTCCGTTTCAAACTGTGGCCGTGGTCCCAGCGCCGCGTGCATTCAACTTAAAAAAACTGCTTGCGTCATTTTCGTGCAAGGATGGGGGTCGCATGGAGCTCTCGCGCCGCGCCCCTGGCGGACCACGGGGTCTGAGTGCTAGCGGAGCCGACCAAGAGCGCCGCGGTCGGGACTACGACCGATCGCTCTGACGCACGCGTCGTCCCGAGGACGGCGCTGGTCGATTTGTTTGCCTTCGACAGGGGGTCTTTGCTGCGCGGGGGCGCCGCTGGCCGAGGATCCTTCCGCGCTGCTGGCCGCTCAGGGGACGTTCCCTGACCAGCCCATCGAGTCGGCGTGAAGCAAACCTGGCTCCACGCCGAGCCGCATCACTGATGCACCGCCGATGCATCGGCGAGATGTGGCGAAATCCTCTGACCCCCTCGACTCCGACCCCATCTTGGAGGCCTGGAGTTGCTGCGCCTCCTCGGGCTTGGGTCGGGCATGTCCCCCTACAGGCGGATTTTGGACGGGAAACACAAAATAACTCCAAAGTGCTGAAAAATACCCAACAATACTCAACAAATCGTCCCTGGATATTTTTTAGATTATTTTTGAACATTTCCCCTGTAGAAGGACAGGCCCGACTTAACCTCAGGCCTCTCCCACGGAACGCTCGGACCACAATCCCAGGGGGAGAGAAGCCCCCGGCCGCGGCGGCGGGCCCCCCCTCGCCGGGCGGCCCTCACAAGAAAGAGGCGCGGGAAAAAATAGACGGGCGTGCTCCGCTATACTGGTCCGGTTGATTGAGGCGCCCCGTCGAAGAGGGGGGTCCGAAATTGGGTCGCATTTGGACGGGGGTCCGGTTTTTGTTGGGGGGGTCGATTAATGACGGATTTGGAGAACGATCCATCACATCGAGGAAAACATGTGTTTTTTTGTTGACGTTGGCGAGCGCAGGCACTTTGCGAGCAGTGGGGCGCGCCCCGTGAGAAGAGGTCAAGGCACCGCCACCGGTGCGCGCTCCCTCTGTGCGGCGCCTGCCAGAGCAGGCCCCAGACAGTGCCAGCGGCGCGCCGAGAAGGAGGTGAGGAGGGGCAGGCCTTCTCTCGGAAGGCGGCGGGGCTTCGGGGGAGGCCACAGAAGGCTGCTCGAGAGGCCAGAGAACGCCCGTCGACGACACGCAGGAGACCCCAAGCAAGGGTGGCCTTTGGTGCGCGGCTTCACCGGGGACGCGGGGGACCAACACACGAGCGCGCAAGACGCTACTGTCGCATCGCGTGTGGCGATCGGGGGGGCCCCGATTGGGCCCGCACCAGAGGTCACTCCGGCGAAGGGTGTCCCTCTTACGTGTAGTCTTAGGTCGGGCGTGTGCTCTTATAGGCGGATTCAGGAGGAAAAGCTAAACACATAGTCCAACCATGAAGTTCCGTTATATATAATAAACATATTAATGAAACTAATAATAATAATGATGAGAATAATAATAATAATAATAATAATAATAATAATAATAATAAATATCGTAATACTACTAATACTACTACTAATAATAATAATAATAATAATAATACTAATAATAATAATAATGCTAATAATAAGCATGATACTGATAGTACTAATACTTACAATAATAATCTAATACTAAGAGTAAACATAATAATAATAATAAATGATAGTAATAATACTAGTAATAATTAAAATAGTAGAAGTAAAAATAATAACAATTCAAAAAAAAGGCACCAGACTATGTTTTCACTATTTGGGAATATCCCCCGTATAGAGGGACAGGCCCGATGTAAGTGTAGTCGGCTCTGACCCTTGTGGGGAGACCCGCCCCCGCTGCCCTCCTTCCTGGGCGCGCCGCCTTATATGGAGTGTTTGCCTTCTTGCCGCGCAGGGTGTCTGTTTGCAGGCTGTGTGGACAAAGTCCGCGTGGTGAAACGGCATCGGCGGCGTGGTGCATTTTCTGTGCGGCGCAAGCCACGTGACGTGGTGCAGCCTGTGTCGCAGAAGCTTCCTGGTGCAACCTGCGCGATGCAGCATATGTGGCAGGAGCTACTGTGGGGCAAGCTGCGTGGGCAATTTCGGAACCCTGAACCCAGCAACGTTTTCATCTCCGGGAAGGTCAGTTTTTGCTTCCGCCGCCTTCCGCCGTCTTTCCGCCAGCGGAGGCGGCCTCGCTTCACTTCCGCCGTTATTCCGCCGCCTTCCCGCCTCGGAAGAGGTGGCAATTCCTTCGACCCTCGAAGGCAAGGCCGCTTTTGGAACGCCCCCACGTGGCGCAAGCTATGTGATCCAAGCTGTGTGATGCAAAAACAAAAGAACGTAAACATAAACAGTTGGCGCTCCGCGCGGATTTCTCGGATCCGCGCGAAGCGCCACAACTTTATGTTTGTACGTCTTCTTTTCTTCTTCGAGTGATGCCACCTGCGTGGTGCGCAAGCTGTGCCTGCCAGCGTCCGGCGCGCGCCCGCGCGAAGCGCCCACGGGCGGCGCCCGCGCGAACACGTCGGGAAACCCTGGCCAGCCAGCGCGCACAGGTGCGCCCACGATGCGCCCCACGTTCGGCGCCAGTCCAGAAACGGCCAAAAGGAGCGACGAGCAAAAACACATCCTACTACAATTCGGTCGGGCACGCCCCCCTAACAGGCGGAAGTTGGACGACAAATGAAACATGGCCAAAACTATTCAAAAATAGTCAAACATTGAAGAAAATCCGTTCCCAAACAATTTGTGACTATTTTTGAATATGCTTCCTGTGGAGGGACAAGCCCGACTTAACACGAGAGTGCAAAAAAAACATCCCCACAATGATCACTTCGACACGCGAAGACGTTCAGCAAACGCACCCACAAAAGGAATCGAACACGGCAGGACTGTTTCGTAAAAGCCCTGGGCCGTTCAGTAGACGCCAAGTATCGGGCTCGGGTGTTTTTTCTTCCCTTGATTGACGCGAGATGACACAGCGACCTTACGTGGGAACGACGATCAAAAACGGATATTACGCGAGATGACGCAGCGACCTTACGCGGTGGTTTGCGCGGGCCGCCGGCGCTTAACGCCACACTGGAGACGAGGGCGCTCACGCGCGACCTCACGCGGGGAGCGCACGCGCCATTGTCGGCGCAGAAGGGGCCCTTTTTCTTTCGCCACCCGATTCCTTGTCACGAACATGCAACTGCAGAAGGAGCTCCTTACGGTGCAGGTCTGCCTGAGGTAGCATTAATTCCCATCCGCCGAACGGACGAGATGGAGGCCTCGTCTCTGGTCGGGCATGCCCTCCTACAGGCGGAACCTAGGGGACAAATCAGGCATCGTCAAAACACGCGAAAGCGAATTGCCAGAAGAGCACGACGCATCGTCCCCAGACTATTTTCGAACCATTCTCGACGACTCTTTCTGTGGGGGGACATGCCCGGCTTACGCCTCGTCCGGCCGCGCCCCCCCGCGAAGCGGCATGGCCTGTTCTCGCGCGTGCCGTGGCCGCCGCCCGAGGCGGCGGCCGAGGGGCTGCCGCCCGCCTCCCCTGCGGCTGCCGGGAAGGGTGCCGATGCCGTTTCCCCCCCGACCTTTTTGACTACCTACCAGACCACCCCAACCCAACCCGAAGACCCGAATTTCGGGTTGGGGGGGGGTAAGGGTTCCACATGTGTTTTTTCTATGTTTCCCGACCCCCCCCACTGGAAATCGAGGGGAAATCAGAGCCTTCGGGTTGGGTTGGGGTGGTTTGGTGGGCGGTGACTTTTCCCAGGGTCGGGAGGCAACTCCTGGGAGGTCTTCGCTGGAACGATAAGCACGAGGCACGAACCACGCCCGCACATGGGCACCGTCCTGGGGTGCTGCGGGTGCGGCGCCGGAGCGCCAGAGCGTCAGAAAGCGAGGCCTGATCAGATGTTGCCCGTGAAGCCGGAGATCATGCCCTTGAGGCTGGAAGTCGAAAGCTGGAGGTGGAAGCCTGGATGGTGAAGCGTTGGACCGATTAAAGGCGATTTGTTAAGCCCGATTGGGGGGCCACTTCGCCAGATTAGGCCGCGGATTAAACGGGTATAATCCAGATTAAGCCGGATCGAGCGGGACTACACCAGATTAAACCAGATTCGGACCAGGGCAAATTCAGAATTTGACCTCCCGTGAGTTGCATTCGAGCCAGGGTGCCTCGTGACCAGCATGCCGCGGCGAAGCCAGCGGTGGCGACGAGGGCCTCCCAGGAGGCCCAAGAGAGGGGCAAGCGACGCAAGGGCAACGGCATCGGCACCTCTTCCTCCTCCGCCCGCTCGGCCAGCGCCGGAGTGAAGCCGCCGCCCTCGGCAGCGGCCGCGGCTGCGCCCTCCGCCTCCGAGGAGCTGCCGCCGGGGGCGGCACTGCGGCGGCCGCGCGCTCGCTCGAGCGCCGAGGACGGCCCGGGTGGTCTCGGCTCCTGCGCGGGGCGCGCGGTGTGCGCCGCGCCGCGTGGTCAGCCACCAGGTCAGGTGCACAGGCGAGAGCTTCGCAGCTAGACCTGGATCATGCGCGGGCACCCTATCGGGGGTGGACAGAACCCCCAACAGTGACACGTCGATTAGTGAATTGTCCGTTTTCGGTTCTCGAGAGGGCGCCGTGGCCGTTATTTTCCAGGCTTGCGCCCGCCAGGTTTGGGCCTCATGCGCGGGCACCCTATCACGTTGCATGGTTTTTGACAGGGGCGGCGGGGTGCTGGCACGTTGCCTGCTGTGCGCAGGCCCACCAGACATCGTGATGGCCACTACGCCGCGATGGTTCATTGGTTTTCGAGAAGGACGGTGGAGGCCGACATGTTTCCCGATGTGCGCGGTCGAACCTGGCACACTATGCGCATGCCACAAACGTAGCGCACCTGACGCAACTGGAGTATGCGGCACACTTGGAGCGCGCGGAGCACGTGGCAAATCTGGCGCACCCGGCGTACTTACCTGGCACGTTTGGCCCGCAAGGGCGCATGGTGCGCGTGGCGCGCATGGCACGCGTGGCGCGCCTGACACGCGTGGCGCACCTCGCTCCAGCGTCGCGCACCTGGGGTCTGTGTTCGTTCCCAGCAGCTGCCCGTCCAAAGACGAGCGCTGAATACGCTGAGACTCGGGTACCACTGACGTGTTGGGATGGCGGGTGGCAGTGAGGCGAAACAGTTTGCATCTGGGAGAGGTGTCTTGACCTTTCCCTACCCCGAGGAAGAGAAGGAGGAGGAGGAGGAGGAGGAGGAGGAGGAGGAGGAGGAGAACGGGGGCGGGCCCAGGCTGCCAGAGCTTCCGAGATGGCCCAGCCCAACATTGTGCCTTGGGATGTCCCAAGAAAGTCCAAGAGGGCCTCAAGCTAGATCAGGATGGCTCACGATAGCCTCTCAACTGACTCCGAGAGGCCCCAATACTTCAAATCCCTTATTTATCGACCCCCCTAAAAAACCGGACCCCCTTCAAATGCAACCTACTATTCCGGACCCCTCTCTTCGACGGGGCGCCTTAATAGACTGGACCCCCTAAGCTCCAATCCAAAGAAAAAGCCCTAATAAACCAGACACCCCCAGTTACAAAAAAAGGCGCCTCAAGAAACCAGACCTGGGGGACGATTGATAAGGGATTTGGAGAACCCCTCCGAGAGGACTGCAATTGGCCACGGAGTCTCCCAAGGGACGCCCCCGAGAGGTCAAACCCGTTCAAAACCGAACGGGCATAAGTCAAGTTTGCTGTTTCTCGCCGTTTCTATGGCCTCAAGATGCATCATCCAATATCGCCCTCAGGAGCCCCAAGAGAGGCGTCTTGGCTCCAGGAGCGCCATAAAGCGCTGCAAGTGCCTCGAGAGGCATTTGTTTTCTCCAAGGAGGCGGGGCTAACTGGAACCTTCCATTATTTGATCGATACCCTGCAAGATGGCCCCCAAAGCTCCCCAGTGTGCCCCAAGAGGGCCCAACAAGAGCCCCAAATGCATCCAAAATGGCCCCACGATGAACCAAGAAAGCTGCCAAGAGGCTCCGATATCGAAAGATCTGCGAATGACTCCTGGGTCTGCTCGGGCTGATCCCGAGCTTCGGTTTGACGGGCTGCCCCCCTATTTCTTCCACTGCTTGCTCCTGCACTTCCCTGATAAAGGCAATTCGATTCGGCTGCATCGTTTCTGGATGGGCTGGTAAGGGATACTCGAAGCTTGTATAGAACCTCTCATTGGGCGTGCCGACTGCACGCTGGGAGAGCTAACATGCAGGGGGCTGGACGTCTTTGACCCCAGACGTCTGCAGATGTGTGTTTTCTTGATCCTATACCCAAGAGGTCCCCACCCCTGCCCCAAGGGTAGTTCATCGCCCCGGATCCATTTCCCATGATCCTGGGACCCGATGATGGTCCCTAGAGGCGGACATCGAGGGACTACCTGAAGACTGAACGAACACATCGTCGGGCACCTTCTGATCCGGGTCAATCCAGACACGGGTCAGTCAGGCCTTGCAAAATCCTGCAAGGTCCTGCAAGATCCTGCACCCGAGCCGGGGTCAATGCGAAGGATCCTGCAGGATCCTGCACACAGACCCGGGTCAGTGCGCCCCTGGCACTGCAGGATCCTGCAAGATCCGGCGCCCTGGCTGACCCCCGTTTGCATTTTTGTTGTTTTTTGTTATTTGTTTCACTCATTCTTTCGATTCTTCATGCCGAGGTGTTTCTGGAGCTCGAATAACAAGCCCAGAGGGTTCGCATCGATAATATACTGTATCATGCTGGTAGGATCTTCTTGGCAGCTCGGGGATGACCCCCGTTTGCATTGACCCCCGCCTCAAGGCCCCCGACATCGACGGAGATCCATGGGTCCGGTGCCCCCAGAAGTCCCAACGCTCCTTTTTCCCAGGGCCAATTTCCATCCCGAGTCGTTGGTTCTGATTCTGACGGCTCTATGGGGGTCCGGCGAGGGCCCCCAGGGGGTGACAATTGAGAAACAAGCTGCCCTTGGGTCGGGCATGTCCCCCTGAAGGCGAATTTGGGACGAAAAATACAAAAGAAATGCAAATATGCAAGAGTGGTCAAAACATGCTCACCAAATGGGCCCCGGACTTTGTTTTGACAATTGTTTGATATTCCTCCTGTAAGTAGAGGGACACGCCCGAGTTAAAACTCGGATGTTTTGATGCCTGGAGGTCTGGGGATCTGGGACGATGCTGAGCGAAGGCCCTGCAAGGGCCCGAGACCAAGCGAGCAACCGCCCAGCGTGAACGGAAACGCCCGAGCTCTGGACGCTCGTAGTGGGCACGGGAGACATGGGTAAGATGCTAGCCAACGCACACGTTGTCCACAACCGACTGCGGCCGCTGTTGGGCAGGCGGCCGCCTGCCTCAAATGGGCAGCGTCCGCGGCGACACCGACAACGAGTCCTGTTCAAACTAAACTGGACATGCTGTCGGTTTTCGTGCCCATCCTTTCCGTACCCAAATTCGATCGTACCGAGCCCTGCAGGCGCCCGAGGTCAGGCGAGCAGCCGCCTGGCGTGAACGGAGGAGTCAGTCATCATTCTGGCCAGGAGCGACGAGGGGGGAGAAGCGAGGAGACACGAGGAACGACGTGGAGGATGGGAAGGAGGGGGAGGGGGGGGGGGGGGGAGGAGGACGAGGATGAGGATGAAGGAAGAGGGATGAGGACGAGGAGGAGGAGACGAGGAGGAGGAGGAGGAGGAAGGAGGAGGAAGAGGAGGAGGAGGAGGAAAGAGGAGGAAGATGAGGGGGGGAGGGGGAGGAGGAGAAGGAGGAGAAGAAGCGACACGGAGGAGGGAAAAGAGGAGGAGCGTGAACGGACGCGTCCGCCACCATTCCCGTCAGGAGCGAAGAGGAGGAGCGAGGAGGGGAAAGGACGAAGGAGGAGCGACAAGGAGGAGGAGTAGGAGAAGGAGGAGGAGGACGAGGAGGCTGATGATGATGATGCTGATGTTGAGGAGAGGAGGAGGAGGAGGAGGAGAGGAGGAGGAGGAGGAGGAGAGGAGAGGAAAACGAGGAGGGGGAGAAGCGACAAGGAGGAAGACACATATTCGAGAAGGAGGAGTATGAGGAGCAGGAGGAGGAAGAGGAGGAGGAGGAGCAGGAGCAGGAGGAGGAGGAGGAGCACAGCGCATCAACCGAAAGAGGAGAGGACGAGGAGGAGGAGGAGGAGGAGGAGGAGGAGGAGGAGGAGGGAAACGAGGAGGAGGAACGAGGAGAAGGAGAACGAGGAGCAGAAGGAGGAGGAGGCAGAGGAGGAGGCAAGGGAGGAGGAGGAGGAGGAGGAGGAGGAGGACCGAGGAGGAAAAGGAGGATGAGGAGGAGGAGGAGGAGGAGGAAGAGGAGGAGAAAGAGGAGGAGGAGGAGGAGGAGGAGGAGGTGCGAGCGAACGATCAGAAGCCCAGAAGCAGGCGGGTCAAGGCCGAAAGCGGCCCAAGGAGCTAGACGGCTTCACCTTGACCCCCGCTCAGCCCACCGCCCAAAGGACCCGAAGTCATCCTTGGGTGGTAGTATGACCACGGGGGGTGTGGAACCGTCAAACCCCCAGCAGCAGCCGGGCGCCTCGCTGGCGCCGACGGGAGCACGGGGCCTGCGCCAGGCGCGCGCTCGCCCGCTTGTCCCCGAATCGCGGGGCTCGCAGGGCGGGGGCGGGCCCCAGCGCCGGCACATGGGGGCCGTCTCTCAGGGGTCCCAGCGCGACGAGGGCGGTGCCGAAGTCCAGCGCGCCCAGCGCCATCGCCGCGGAGCTGGGCCACAGCAGCTCCAAAAAGAAATAGCAACTCACGAAGTCGGTGCTCGAGCCGCGCCGCGGCAAAACGAGGCGAACGCGACCAACGCACGGGGCGGGGCGCCCACGGGCCAGCAAGCTGCAACTCCAAGGGCCCAGGAAGATCGCGCCCACCTCGGCGACTCGAACCTGCGCGAGGCAGGGTTTGAAAGCCGAACAAGTTCAGGAGAGCGTCCAAACCAGGGGGGGGTCAAACACCGCGTGCCACTGGTCTCCAGCAGGACACTCATACCATAGCAGGGTCAGCTTCGCCATCGCTACCATCTTCACGCGGAGCGCCCAACTCCAAACGCCCGGGGTGAATTAGGCCGTCGTCCGCCAGGATGCACGCCGCGTCGAAGTACCTCTGGGGTTCGGCCCTGGTCTTCCCTTTGGGGCGACTGACGCGCGCTTCATCTCTCAGCGGATCCTGCCAACCTTTGGATCTGCACAAAGACCTTCTCACGTCATCTGATGGCCTGCGCGCATGTCGCAGGCGAGCGTGCTTGTGCAGGTTCAGAGGGCACCTCAGGCTCTCAAAGTGTCGAGTGTTCTCGTCCGCTCTGCCATCGCCACCGGGGCGCCCACGACATCGGAAATCGAGCCCGCGGTGATTGAGGCGACCCGTGTCCGAGCACTTGCAACAGCTGGCGCAGAAGACACGATCGTGCCCGACCATCAACTCCCAGCA